GCCTAGAATCCCCCAGTGAGGGGCTGGGGTGTGGCTCAGTGGTAGAGCCCCTGCCTAGAATCCCCCAGTGAGGGGCTGGGGTGTGGCTCAGTGGTAGAGCCCCTGCCTAGAATCCCCCAGTGAGGGGCTGGGAGTGTGGCTCAGTGGTAGAGCCTCTGCCTAGAATCCCTCAGTGAGGGGCTGGACTGTGGCTCAGTGGTAGAGCCCCTGCCTAGAATCCCCCAGTGGAGATGTAGCTTAGCATTAAGACATTCACCTAAAATCAGTGGGGGACCAAGGAGAATAGCTTACTGGTAGAACATCTGTTTAGCTTGTGCAAGGTCCTGGGTTCAATCCAAAGCATCACAAGAAATGAAACTGTGTGTAAAGCAAAGCATGTTCTTCAGACTTAGAGAAATCCCAGTGGTGACAGTCACTAGAAGTCACCTTCTGAAGCCTGAAGAGGAGCAGGATCATCTCTGTTCCCACAGTCCTTCTGCAGTTTGGCGTGCTATCCACATGGGGGCACTGTCTCTCTGGTTAATGAAAACAGTACTGGGTACTGCACAATCCCTCACCTCCTCAATGCACTGCCCGTGTCCCTAAGGCTTAGCGATGGTGTAAACTCCCATAAGCCTCTCCAACCACATCTGCTCAACATCTCACCTAGGTGTGTGTCTCTGGGACCATGGCCACTCCCTCAGAAGGATCACCCCAAGATCTGACTGGGCTGGCCTTATGTGAAGGAAAAGTCCAAGAATCTCTCACTGGTGGCTACAGGGTCCCTCCGTGGGGGAGGTGGAGGGCTGCATTTCTACCTATCAGAGAGCGTCCACATATGCAGGCCGAGAAGCAGACTGAAGGCTCCCCAAGCCAGTCTGTGCCTGGAGAAGAGCAAACTTGAAGACTGTGGAGCCACAGATGCCTGCCATTTGATGTTGCTATACAGCCCGGGGCCCCTAAGGAACCACCCCCCACCCATGGGAACATCTGGGGACTAGATGGGGTTGATGTGAGGGGTCACGAGGGAGGGTCTGGCCTTTCTCCTGCTGTCTCGGAGCTGCCAGACACTCCCCTGCAGTCCCAGGCTCTGCCCAGCCATTAATTTCAGTTTGGTCCACAAACAATGGTGACCTCTCTGTCCTGCGCCTGGGTGGGGAAGAAGCTGGCTGGCGCCCATCTCTCCTGTGGTAGCGGCTGAGCACCATGGTTAGCCTGCACAGCATCAAGTCTTGGGGCTTTACCCCAGCTTGGCTTATCCAGTGGCATGCAGAAGAGCCACACACGCTCAGAAGAACAGTCATCTGATCTTCAGAGCCCAACTCTATTTTGTTTTTGAGATTCACTGCCTTCCTCAGTTTCCCCAGGAACTCAAAGGGGAGGGTAGTTCCCCACGGGAAGTAAACCAGCATGTATCTTGTTGCCTAGAGAGCCTAGGCAACCACAACATCTGTCGTATCCTTACATCGTAAGGTGGCCACTCTAAGAAAGGAGGATCCTGGGAGCTCTCTGTGCACCAGTGAGCTCCAGGCTCAGTGAGAGATGCTATCTCAAGGGAATAGACAGAGGGTGCTAGAAAAGGACAAGGCTCCTCTGGCCTCTGCAGGTGCATGCCCCACCCTGCAACACACACACACACGCACACGCTCAGGCACAGGCACGCACCCATGTGCACGTGCACATGCACACAGAGCAAGGCAGATGGACACATTTTTCTGACCCTGAGTCCAAGAGGTGGGTCACCACACAGCTGCACAAAGTCACCCCAGGATGACATCAGCCAGGAGGAAAACAGTCCATGCTGAGGGAGGGGAACCAGAAATAATGATTGGGAGGAAGGAAAACAAACACTGGTAAGAAAGGAACAAGGCCAAGCTGAGATAAACACAGATTAGAAATGCAAATGACAGCACAAGGTGCCTTGGGAAACAGCGGGGCTGGGGCTGGGGCAAACAAGTAACAAAGTGAGGGGCAGGAGGCAGGAGGGGCCGAGGCGGAGAGAGAAAGACTATATCTGTGTGTGGAGGAGGGGTGGGGGAGAGGGACGCATGAGATGTGTGGAGTGTGGGAGTGCTGTGGGGTTATGGGGGTGTGGAGCACGTAGGGAGATGTGGGGCATGACATGTGTGTGAGAGGTTTATGTGCTGTGTGTGCATGTGTGCATGTGTGCATGTGTGGGCATGTGTGTGTGGTTTGTGGGATGTGTGGAAGGTGTAGGGAGGAGGTGGGGTGTGTGTGTCAGTTTGTATCTGTGTGTGTGTATGTATATGTTTGTGTCTGTCTCTGTATGTGTCTGTGTGTCTGTATTTGTGTGTCTCTTTGTATGTATATGTGTCTGTGTCTCTCTGTATGTGTCTGTGTGTCTGTGTGCCTCTGTGTGTGTGTGTCTGTGTGTCTCTCTATATGTATATGTGTCTGTGTCTCTCTGTATGTGTATATGTCTGTGTGTCTCTCTGTATATGTCTGTGTGTCTGTGTGTGTGTCTATGTGAGTGTCTCTGTATGTGTGTCTTGTGTCTGTGTTTATGTGTGTGCCTGTGTGTGCGCGTGTTTCTCTGTGTGTATGTGTGTCTCTGTGTGCGTGTGTCTCTCTGTGTATGTGTGTCTCTCTGTGTGTGTAGTTCAGAGAGCAACCTTAGGTATTGTTCCTTGGGAGCACTGCGCATTTTGCTTTTAGAGAATGGGTCTCTCGGTGATCTAAGGCTCACTGAGTAGGTGAGGCTGGCTGGCCATAGCTGGGCACAAGGACTTGGACTGGAGATGCATGGTTGCCAGGCCAGGAAATCTGGGAAGCAGCCTCCATGTCCACAGAACAGAGGAGAAGAGACATCTGGCAGCCTGTGGATGGGCTGAGCCCAGATGTGAATTCCCGGGATTGATTGCTGTGTGCTGTACTGTCCTGTGTCCTAGTACTGATTCATTTTTTTCAAAAGGAAAAAGGAATTGGGAGAAAAAAAGCAATGATCATGCATTAGGGATGACAAAAGAACCCTGAAGGTTCTGGAAATACAGCAGAAACAAGCTGCTGAAGGGAAGGCCTTGGCTCTTCCCCTCTTCCTGTCTACAGGGAAGCGGGAAACACACCCTGCATCCCCAACGTGGGAACAGGACCAATACCTTTGCAACTCTTCTGAGAACTGCTGTGATCAATGGCCCTTCCATATCAATGCTGCCTCTGGCTAGTCTGCAGAGACCTCTGTTAGGCCAGAAGCAGCACCTGCTCTTTTCATGCAGCTGCAGACTCCAGGGGTCCTGACTCCCACTGGCTTATGACATGACAGGCATGCGAGGTAGCCTGAGCTCAAGCCCATCTGCTGGGTATTGAGGATGGCAGGATCCCAGCCCTCTGTCCTGACCTCTGTGTGTCTTTTGATTCTATTGTACAAAGAGGAGGTTATTGCACAACCCTGAAGCAACAGCGTGCTGCTGATTCTGAGGTCGGAACATGCGACCAGTAGGTGGAGTCCCCTCCCCAGCTGCTCAGAGACCTCATTCAACTCAGTCTCAGCCTTAGCAGGACAGCATGGCTCCTCGGCTATACTCATGTACACAGACACCTGCACGTGTCACAGGTACTATCTGGGGGCCTTTTCTTTTAAATTCATGTATCCTAGGCTGACCTAAACTCACTAGATCACCAAGGATGACCTTGAACTTCTGATCCTCCTCCACTTCTGAGTGCTGGTTTGAGCTGGGGATGGAACCCAGGGCCGCCTGCACACCAGGCGTGCTCTACCCTGAGGCACACCCCAGCCCTGGGCCTGAGTTTCTGAGCTTCATGTTTAGTACCAGCGCGCTGGAAGAGCTGCAGTTCACAGACTTCCTCCTGGTATATATCGTACAGATATGCCACTGCCTCCCTGACAAGTCCCACCGAGAGGGCCTCTCATGAAGGCTTCCATGCTGGGAGGACAGGTGCTATGGCCTTAGTGTCGCATATCTGATGATATATAACCCAGAATGATCCACACATCCCACCAGTGTAGTGTCCACGGAAGCTGGGCTAGGGTGCTTTAACTAGGAAAGTAAGCTGGGAACCACTCAGAAAAAAATCTTTCCTCTCTGTGTTAAAGATGCTCTGGGGAATTCAGTGTGTGTGTGTGTGTGTGTGTGTGTGTGTGTGTGTGTGTGTTGCACATGCTAGGTAATTATTCTACCACTGAGCAGCCGGTGAGCCTTTTGTGGAGTGTCTGCTGTTGGTTCAGTACTGATGATTGAACCTGGGTTTTCCTGGGTGCTAGGCAAGCGGTCTATGCTAAGCCACTCCTTCAACTCATTGTGGGGTCCTACGCAGGAGGTTTATGGCCTACCTATACTCCACAGCCCCTCAATGGGAGACTCTAGGTCAGAGCTCTACCCCTGCGCTATGCCCCCAGCCCTATTTTTCCTTCATAATTTGGGACAGGGTCTGAGTTAGCTGCCCAGTCTGGCCATGTACTCGTTATGTAGCACAGGCAAACCTTGAACTTGTAATCCTCCTGCCTTAGCCTCCTAACAGCACAGGTAGCATGTGCCTGCACCACCAGGCCTACCGAGTTAATTTCCCTTTACAGCTTCCCAGGGTGGTCAGAGGAATGGGAGGGCACTGGCTCAAGTCTGCAGCCAAGCCCAAGGAGCCTGCAGGGAATTTGATGTTAAGGGAGGGACAGTAACTAGGTCACACTTACAGTTGTGCCTGCTTTTCCGCTAGCTCTTTGGTCTTCTCCTATAAAGGAAAAAAGTAAAATAAAAGCAAATGTGAGAACACAGAACAGCAGCGGGATATACTCAAACACACAGCATCCTGGGTCTCTGGGATGGCTCAGTGGGAAATGGACTTGCCACACAGTCCCTACGTCCTGTCCCTGGAGACAGAGGGGCGGGGTGGTGCTGCAGGGATCTCAGAGATGTGTGTGTGTGTGTGTGTATGTGTGTGTGTACCTCTACCTTATTTATTTAGACACAGGGTCTGTCTCACTAAGGCCAGAGCTCTGTTTTAGTTAGACTGACTGGACCCCGGAATCCACTCCTTTCTGACCCTGAATCCTGCCATTATAGAGACAGTGATGAGCAAAATCAGGATACCTGAAGGCCTCTAACAGTTCTGAGCAACAGAAACCCTTCTGGTCCTCAGGAGTCAGGTCACCTTCAGGGCAGGAGTCAGAAAAGCCACTGAGACCTTGAGTCCCAAGCAGCCTGTTCAAATGCTTTTGGTTCCCCAGCCCAACAGGTGGCACTGCTGAGCTTTTGCTGGAAGATTCCTGTGTGTGTGTGTGTGTGTGTGTGTGTGTGTGTGTGTGTGTGTGTTCGAGACAGCCTGCAGTGGGAGAGGCCATGGACATTGCTAAGTATCCCATGAGATATACTGGACTGGCTCCATAATGAGGAATTCTGCTTGCCCCACCCCACACCCCAAGTCTACTGACCACCGGCTCTGACATGGAGTGTGCCAACAGCTGACAGTTGACTGACCTGGTGGAAACCACAGGGCACTGAGCCCCTGGACAGTGGTCTAGCAGACTCAGACTCACTCTGAAGGCAAAATGCTACAGTGAGCCCTGGAATGCCCAGCCTGGTGCCTGCTGGATAGGGAGGTGTATGTGGAGAAGCCAGCCCTTTCCTCAGCCTGACATCATTGTGGGGACATCACAGAAGTGGCAGGCCTTCAGCTCTAGCAGGCAGAGCCCAGCCATCAGGTAGCACGGGCCATCACCCTCACGCACCCAGACAGTGTCTCGGACCCTTTTGGAGATCTTGAGCAGGAGATGCCTGAAGGTACCCGGCTGGAAGTGAGTGGCAGAATGCTGGATGCAGAGGCAGAGGAGGAAGGCAGGTGTCAGCTTGTGGTCGTCACCCCCAGGCTCAATCAGCGTCATGATCCTCTGAAGCAGTGTGTCCTCCACGTCGGGCTCAAACTCCAGGAGCAGTGACCGCCGCTGGACCACAGCAGCAGGCAGGGAAGGGGCTCCACGGGTTCTGAGCACTGCACCACACATCCTACAGCTCTGTGGTGCTGCCCCAAGACGGGCGAGGGCACAGGCAGGCAGTGGCTGTGCCTGCCCAGGGTCCTTGAACAGCAGCAGGTAGTAGAGGCCCAGGGAGAGCAGGTCGCCATGTTGTAGCACCACGGGGTTCCTTCCCACTTCTGAGAAGTTGACTGACACCGGCGCACCTGCAATCGGCTCCAGCACTAGCCTGGTTCCCTCTGGGCCACCTTCTGGGGACTGGTGGCGGCGAATGGTGCAGTGCAGGGGCAGGATGTCTGGGGCAGACAAGCTGATGCTGGGTTTGCTAGATGGTGTGCGCTGGCCCACTGTGTGCCGCTCCCGGCTGAGCACATACACCAGGCTGTCCTAAAGAGCAGACAGGCAATTTAGGACAGGTATGACACCGGTCATGCTAGCACCAGCATAGCACTGTCCCTGTTCCTGAAGTTGGCCACTCACCCCAAAGTCACCAGTAACCCTTTACCTTGGCAACCCTCCCCTGGCCACCCTAGCCTGACCAGAGGATACTGCTTCCTTACACAGAAGAGACCCATCAAGAGGCGAGGGCAGTGCTTGGTCTGACAGCCACAGAGCTAAGGGCTGCCAGTCTCCCCCAGCTCTCCCTAAGCAGCAGAGTAGGCCCTGCTCCTCAGTTCTCAGCTCAGCATGGGGCTTCTCTTGAGACTGAGCCCAGGAAACCCGATGGATGCTGTGAAAGGCCCAGAGACCAGAGCAGGAATGGGCAAAGACAAAACAAATGACAGTAGGCTGGCTCCTTGGGACCCAGATAACGAAGTAGGAGGAAGTGGCTCTGGGAACTGAGTCTGCTGGGACAGGCCAATCATCCCTACACTTGGGAAGGAAGCTGAGGCAGAAGGATCGTGTTCAAGGCCTACTTGGACGACATAGTGAGTTTCATACCAGCCTGGGCTACATAGGAAGACATTGTTTCCAAGAGGAGATGGGAGAGGGAGGGGAAAGGAGCTCAGACAACAGAGCTACCAAGTCCCCATCAGTTTCCAAGGTCAGGCTGTAAGGGGCAGCAGTGCTGGGGACTGGGGGTGGCTCACGTGCTGCTGGCTGTAGCCCTGCAACAGCAGCAGGTGTGGGCACTGGTACAGGGAGTAACGCATGGTGGCAGGGAGGGGCTCCTCAGGCTTCTGGGCAGCCTCAGGTAGCGTTGGGCTTAGGCTGGTCTCGCTGACTGTACGGCGAAGCCCGGTTGGTGGGGAGCTTTGGGCAGCCTCAGAGGTGAGGGCTGGGGTTCCCTTGGCACGGATACGCTGTAGCCTCCGGGCTTGGGCGTTTATCCCTGGAACAGAATGAGTGAAGGAAGGTGGTCAGAGATCTCATCACTACTTCTCAGACTGTGCCAACTTCAAGTCTCACTGAGTCACTTAGACACCTGTCGTCATTCTGTCGGAAAAGGTCTGGAGAAGGCCTAAGGCCTCTGGTCAATGTCTATGGCCTTTGAAAGTTTAGATACTTCCCACATGCCATGGAAGCCCCAAAAGCCCTGCCCAAAAGGCAGTCACAAAGCAGGTAGCCCAGGTGTCCATACCTTGTGGCTCAGAGGCGACCACCACATACCTTAGCCTGCACCATGGCTACTATCACCAAACCTATAAAACATATCCCTGTCACAGCCTTGCTCAGACCAGATCATCATGTCAGCACAGAGCCCTGGCCCTGACACACCTGCCCTGTCCTTCCAAGCCCATGTGTGTCAGAGTAAACTCTGGGGGCAGGGGATTCTGACTAGAAGTGAGGAAGCCAGTCAGTCACTTCAACAAGGCAGAACTGGCCAAGCTGCCAGTCACTTGCTGGTCAGCTTTGGCCACAGCATGGCTGCCCTTCCAGAGGCCATCATGGTCCTTGAGTAGACACACATATGAACACAAATTTAGGCCCAAGTGCACATAAATATACAAGCAGCAAAATATCCATATGCACACACATGTGTAAAACCACATACAGATAGAAGTACATGTAAAAATGTACACAAATACACATGCACACACAAACACACGTATGCACAAACAAGAGTAACACACAAACACAATAAAACATATATACTCATGCAGCCACAAACACTCATGCACACAAAGTCTGCATTTCACACACCTATGTACAACACAACACACAGGTACAAAAACATAAATACAAGCATATTCACACGCTGCTGGGAAATAACACTACACTCCATGAACCACTTCCAAAACCTCATGCTTTCAAATACAGGAAATGCTCTCTGAAGTACCCCTGCTGGGAAAGCTCCCAGCAGGATGGAGGGAACCCTGGGGACCCAGTTCAGTGCTCCCAGCTGACCCTGGAGCTTTCTTCCCTGAGCCCTCTGCCGAGTCCCCTCCGTGCAGCTTTGTCCCTGTCTCTAGCATCTTTCCTTCCAGACATTACAAACGGAACTAGACAAAAGCCAGAAGGGAGGCCAGGAACGGGCTGCTATGCACACCTTACCGGGAGCTGGTGGCTGAGCTCTAAGCTCTGCCCTTCCTTGCAGAAGGCTGCCTGCGCATCTGCAGCCCGCAGGGGGCCAGGGCTGCAGGATGGAGGCTGGCCAGCCGCAGTGCCAGGCTATGAGGCTGCTCCGCCTGCTGCAGAGCCCAGCTGGAGACAGGTGCCCAGCAGGTGAGGCCGGAGCCCTCTGTCCTGCCTTGTCCCGCCCTCCCCCCAATCTGTAAAGAATGCCAGCTCCCCAGTGTGGCCTCACTGAACAACCACGGGGCAATGAAATGAAAACAAGGGAAATGAAAGCAAGGTACAAAATGATGCTCTCCTACAAACCCTTCTCCAAATCCAGGGCTGGGGGGGTGGGAGAGGAGGGATTCCCTGGGGATATCCCAGAAGCTCTGGCATTGCAGGAAGCAGCCAAGCTGAAGTGGCCTCTCCTCTTTTGTTTCCCAGGGATCCCAGAAGGTCCCAAGGTTCCATGTCAGGGTGTCCCACATGAGACATGCACAGATAACTGAAATCCTTTCACTTTGAGAAAAGACTGCATTACCCTGTCAGATGTGCCCCCTTCCTAGTCCAGGCCTGTCTAAGCTGGTTGTCAGTATTGATCCCCTTCCTTGGTTCTGGGTAGGCTCGCTGAGCTTCCAGCCTGGACCAGGCTTTTGCTCTGAGTAGCAGTGGTTGGATTTGTATCTAAGGTCAACCAGTAAGCACAATGAACAGGAAAGGCCATGTAGCAGCCACAGCAGCAGCTTACACTAGGGACACCAGCAAAGCTGCCATGAGTGCCCAGGGCCAACAGGAATCTCATGCCTCTCTCCTCCTCTGTCACTTGCTATGAGGGACATGCACCTTGCACCAGCCTGCCCAAAGGAGGGGCTCTGGCTCAGTGTGCAGACACTGCAGATGATACCTCAGAGTATAGCAGGAAAACAGTTGGCAGGAGAGACGTGTGGCCCAATACCACAGGCTTAGCAGTTTACAAGGGGCAGTTTGTGATGCCCCAAATACGGCTCCTGGTTTGTGGAGAAGTGCACACAGGAAAGGCCCCAGTGGATTCACAGGACGGCTGAGCTCACAGGTAGGAGGGAAATGAACGCTGTGATGGACATGCTAGGTTTAATACGACGTCTTGTGTACGACATGTGACAAGAGTCATATTCTTTTTTATTTATTTACTTATATACTGTAGTAGGGTGATGTTTCTTTGTGTGTGCATATGCAGTTAGCAGGAGCATGGAGAACAAGGGTCTGACTTTGTGAAGCGAGTTCTCTCCTTCATGTAGGTCCCAGAGACCCAGCTCAGGTCATGCAGTCTGGCAGCAAGCGCCTTTACTCACTGGGCCACCTCACTGGCCATACTGTGTTTTTTAAGAGTTTCTCACTTGCCAAACAGGCTAGGCAGTGTGGCTAGGAAGTCCTGGGGACCCTTCTGCCCCTGCCTTCCCAGCACTAGGGTGACAGGTGTATGCCACCACACCTGGCTTTTTTTTTTAATGGGGATACTAGGGATCAAACTTAGTCACCTGCACTTGTGAGGCAAGCACACACTTGTGAGGAGGTTCAGCTCCTCAGCCCCGTCTTGCTTTGTTCTGAGGATAGTTATGAAATCCTCCTGACTGTCTCCCTAGTGCTGGGATTACAAATCTCCACCGCTAGGCCTGGTTTTATTTATCTTTAAGAATTCTAAAGCATGGCACCTCTGGGAGGGAGGTACCCAGGAGTCAGTTAAAAATAACTAATTCCCTAGGTTTTTCTTTTTAGGTTTTGGTTTTCTTGAGACAGGGTCTTCCTACCCTGTCATGGTTTCAGGCCAGTCGGGAAGTCCTAATTCTCCTGCCTTAGTCTCCTGAAGACTGGGATTACAGGCCTGTGCTCTATGCCTGGTTGCTTTTCTTTACTCTTAAAAGCTGTTCTTCAAACAGACACCATGGAATTCTTACTGCTCTGAAGCACCTTGCTTGCATGGGACTTTCTGATGTGTACCCTCCTCAAGACAAGGCCACAGAAAGCAAGGGCCCAAACCACTCGGTCAGGGAAACCAGTTTTAAGGACCTTTGAGTCCCTGAATTCTTGGAAACAGAGTTGTGGTCACAGCAGCACTAGGTCCGTGAACGTCATCACTTACATATCAATTTGAGTCCACCCCAAACCAATGACCTCCCCATGTGGCCACTGAACTGAAGGCCAGCAGAGACCAGCAGGCTAACGTCTCTCACAAGTCAATCCTGAAGCTGTGGAGAACACAGTCCAGCATCATGGCTGGACATAATCCTGTAGCTGCTGAGGGGCTCAGATCTGATATCATATGACCTAGGAGGAGCTCAGGGAGTTGGCAGCCAAATGGGCATATGTCTGAGGGACATACACAGCTGGAGTCTTGGTCAAAAACAAGGTCACTTCAGATGCCACCTCCAGCCAACCAGGGCCTTTGCCAATGTAAGGGAAGCAGAGTGAGAAATACCTCAGAGGAAGCCCCATTTCCCACATCCTCACTCTAGACAAGTCAACTGGCAAGAGTTGCCTCAAAGCCTTTCAGAACATGGCAATTTTGGATGGAAAACTATTCATTGCATGTAAAGATGTCAGGCCTTGCCATGTGTGAATGAGGACAGAAAGAGACAGCCACCTCTTCCCTTCCCCTGCTGCAGGGATGGTCCCAGGCAAGAGTCTCCTGCTGTGCCGTGGCTGAGTTCCTTGCAATCAGAGGCTCTGACTCAGAAGATCTCAGGAACACCCGGGTGTCAGTCACTGCCATGTCTGACCAAAGACAGTTGCCCCCAAGCCTGAGTTTGATCCCCAGGACCCATCAAGTGGAAGGGGAGAAATCACTCCCACAAGTTGTCCTTTGACCTCTATATGTGTGCCAAGGCATGTGCTTGAGTGGGAACACACACACACACACACACACACACACACACACACACAGAGAGAGAGAGAGAGAGAGAGAGAGAGAGAGAGAGAGAGAGAATATTAAACAAACAAATAGATGTAAAGAATATTTTTCAGCTGGTTATGGTAGCTGAAATCCCAGCACTCAGGAGGCAGAGGGCAAGCAGATCTCTCAGGGTTCAAGGTTAGCCTGGTCTACAGAGCATTCCAGGCCAGGCAAGACCACATGAGACTCTTAGCTCACACAAACAAAAGCCCTCCCCCTCAAGTACGCTCAGGGTCCTGTGCTGGTCCACAGACACTTCCACCATCCAGCTGACAGACATTTGAGGTCTTGGTGTGCCTCTTCAGGTACTCGGAGACCCTGGTTTTCCACACCAGGGCATGCTTCGAGAGCCAGCCTGGCCTTGCTAACCCACAGCTTTCAGGTGAATAGGACCCAGCACTCCATAAGCATGTGTGTGTGTGAGCACATGTGTCAGGGGACATCTGCCCACACACAGCACTTCAGGTCTCCCAGAGGAAACAGCTGAGCAAGCAGCTAGGACGGGGAGGAAGCAATCTCTTTGGCACCGGAACTCAGGGCGTCAAGTACAGCTAGGACAGCAATATGGGAACCAGAGTCCTCCCAAAGGAAGATTCTAAGATGTTAAGCTGGCCACCTCTGGGCCTCCTTTCCAACGGCCAGCCTCTTCCCTTTCTACAGAAAGGAGCTGCTAATGTGTCTGTCTTGGTAGAGACTGTGGAACGGGGCGGGACATCACTGACAAGAGCTGGTCACTGTCATCATCGGTCTGCTCTGGCTTCAGAAGGCCCTGGAAAGCACAACAGAGCTCTTCCTGAACGTCACGGCACCTGCTTCCCTCAGTCAGTCTGTGGGTCTCTCCCCCACTCCTGTTTGTTCACCCTTCCCTGGCTCTATGGTTAGAAACAGCACAACCAGGAAGTACT